CCTGGCGGCTCACCCCAGAGCTCTGAGAGGGGGATGAATGAATGCATAGAACAGGAATTGGCAGAACTCAAAGATAAACTATGTAACTTGACCAACATGCAATGGGGCACTGCTTCAGTAGCAGCTCTAAGCTCTGAGAGCCTGACTCAAATTCTATTTCTTCAATAGCTAGACAAATTCTTGATCCTTCTAAGCCAGAGCAAAGAAAATAATTATTATTATTGTAGCTAATGTTTATTGGATACTTACGATGTGCTAGGCATTGTTTTAAGCACTTTACATACACCACTAGTCCTTAAATCCTACCTCATAAACCTGAAGGTTTAATTCAGATAATAATGTATGTTGAGGCCTTATCCAGCTAATTCTCAATAAATGTAATATTATTTGGTCAATAATTAAATAATATAAATATTAATAATTAATCATTTTAATGGACTTTATGGGAAAATATATTTTATTTTAATTATTGATATAATCATATAAACTAATTTTTAATTATGATGATAAAATTAAAGTCTTAATGTTACATAGTGAATGAATATTCTCATCAAACAAGGAAACTCTTTATAAAGCATTTCTTTTTAAGTATGAATAGGTTTAGATTTTATTTTAAATTTCAGTTCCTTACTCTACCATTTCCATTTCCCCCAAAGCTAAGGTGTGCCTTAGGAGACATACTCAGCAGGGAAATAGAATAGCCAGATAAAAAGATTTCCTGGCAATTTCCACTAAGTTAGCAGATTCATAAAGCAGGTGACTTTTTCCCCACTTCTAGGATAGTACAGAGCAAGACCTTTGTATATTTTTAGTTACTATTTATTTTTAAAATAAGTACAAAAAATAAACACCTTTATAGTAAAAGATGACAGAATAATATTTCTGTGCACATTTCTCTGTGTTAGAGAAGTTAAACGCAGGTGAAATCCCACAGGTGGCCAACTCTTCTTCCAGTCAGTCTCATCCTCAGACAGTCACTTTCACAACTGTGGAAATTTCACAGTGGAAGGTGTCAGACTGATAAATTTTGGCAACCATCCCTCTGCTTCTCTGTGTTTCACAGGGCAAATGTGCCAACCCTGCTCTCTATTTTCCTGAAAGTCCCAAGTGAATTGCATCTCAACTCTGCCCTCTTTTTAAGGTTGACCTAGGACTCCAATAAGTAAAATGCCGATAAGTGACAATTGCTTTTTTCTATTGACCTATTTTGTTGTAGCTATGATATTATGTGTCCTAAATATAGTAGAACATAAATAATACCCAGGGCCTAAGTTTTCAGTAGTGATGTTTGGAATGAATAATAAGTGAATCTAGTCAGAATATTTATTAAATTGCATTGTAAAGCATTGTTAACCAGTATGTTCCTTTGATGCCTGTTATTTTAAACCTCTAATGTTTTAATGATGCAGTGTTAATGAGTGCTTTGTTTTGTTGATGGGTGTTCCAAATTTTAAGAATCACAGAAAGCAAGGAGCAGAAGCATGATGACATTGATTTGCATAATGATAAGTCAAGTAGATGTAAAAGCACTCTTTCCTTTGAGAAATTGAAATACTGATAATACCTGTTAGATTAATTAAATTATATAATTTACATCACAAAAAAATTTCTTCTCCTTCAAAAAAGCTATTTCAGGATGTCATTGACAGAATACTAACTTTTAAATGGAAGTCCAAAAGAAAATGTAGTTGTAGTTGCAAAAATCAGATGCACGTAAGTTTTCAGAAATACATCCCAAATCAAACCCACTTGGGGGAGGAAGGCAGCCTTGTTTAGTGATTTCATGTCCAAAGCCAGGGTCTGAACAACTTAGGGCAGAAACCCAAATGTATCTGAGCCTTCAGGCCTTCACTTCAAAATGACAATTTCCGTAAGGATTCTTATTTTTAAAAGAATTCCTGTCTTACAGCATTGCAAGAAAAATTAAATTAAAAATTATATATATAAAAATGTATATATAATATGTATATTATATATGTGGAAATATGTCTATTTCCCAGCATTTTTTAAGCATGCAAAAATAGTATCTGTAACTATTAATACTACGAAATACATAACTAAAATTACACTTTAGACCAGAATATTTGCTAAAGGAAACTTGCTTTCACACATCTGAAACACTTTCAATGTACTAATTTTAGGCAGAAGGCATCCAATTTTCTGTCATCCTTTGCAGTTTCCTTCAAATAGTAAAAATAAAACCCATGTTCTGGAAGGATAACTTACTATCTGCATGGCTCAGTGTTTCGTACATACCGTCTCACTGAATACCCCCAATGATCCTTTCAGGTAGGTATTATTATCCCCATTTACAGATATGGAAACTGGGATGCAGAGTTTAAGTAATCTGTTCAAGGTTATCTTGCTGCTAATAACCACGTTAGGATTTCAACCCAGGCAGATCTCTAATGTCCATGCTCTTACACTCTCTTCTATGGAAATAAAAGTAAATGGCCGTGGGGGATGTTGATTTTGAGCCACTTCCTACTTTAAATAAAGTTAATCTAGGTTCTCAGTTTTTTAAACTCAAAATTATTTTACACTCTAAAAGAAATATTAGGAAGCTCATGAAGCTTTTGTTTATATGGGTTATACTTATTGATATTGTCCATATTGCAAATCAAAGGTAGTAAATTTTTATTTGTTATTTATATATAACAATAACTTTATACTATTTATTATTTTAAAAAATATTTTGATTAATACTAAACACTTGCTACTATACATTTTTTTATGAAAAATATATTGTTTTCCAAAACAAAAGAAAACCTTTAGTAAGAAAGGTGATTTCAATTTACATGCTTTCAAATTTCCTTAACGCCTGACTTAATAAACAGCTGAGTTCTCCTGTCTGCCTCTGCATTCAATCTGTTGTGCCATCACATGTCACATAGCCTGTGGAAAACTCCACTTAATACTCCTGAGACAAGGAGAATGAAAAGAACAAATAATGACTCAATGTTATTACAAACGTAGTTTGACCACTGCACCCCTGAAAGTTTTCATCGACTGTTAGAGGTCTCAACTCACACTTTAAGAACCACAGTTTAATATCTTGAATAAGAGAACTGAGAAGTTCCCTAGTCAATGTTAGTCTGCAGTAATAACCCAAGTTCATCACTCAATTACTTCCTCATTCACAAAGTGTCTCTTTGTACTGTACTGGAAAAGAATGAAAATTTATCATCTCTGGGTAATGATAAACACTGAGTGGGAAACGGTTTAAAAGTAATATTACGTGTCTAAAACAAAATTTTATTAAAATGTATCCAAATTATATTTAGTTAACTCTATGCAGAGACAAAAAATCATATATTTCTATCTTCACCTAATAAAGAAGACAATCTGTTGTTGTACAAATGAAATGTAATTGAACTGTCATTCTATTTTAGTGTCATTAACCAAATTAATTAAATCTGTTATGTTGCCTAAGTGAAAGTAGTAGTCAAATATTGGTAAATGTGTGCATATGTGCCCAACAAAGTAGAGAGTATCAGAAAAGCATTGTGAATCTGTTTTTTTAAACTATAGCATGTTTAATAATCTTGTCTTAAAATATAACTTCTCCAAGTTGAAGCTCAAATAAAATCCAGGCAGGAAAAGAAAATATAATTTTTAATATATCCTGCTGCTATTTTATTCCTAACAAACACTGGAAATTTGACTCAGCCTGTTATTGTTACACTTGATAATAGTACATCACTTTTTTTTTTTTTTTTTTTTTAGTTTTTAATTTTAAAGATGTGGGGTACAATTCAGGGTAAGGTATATAAATGCTCATTATGCAAATAAGATAAGAAAAAATGTATAAAATATTTGGATAATGTAAAGACACATTAGAAGTTGAATCATGCCGGGCTCGGTGGCTCAGCCTGTAATCCCGCGACTTTGGGAAGCTGAGGTGAGTGGATTGCCTGAGCCTGCGGGTTCGAGACCCGCCTGGGCAACTTGGCGAGACCTCATCTCTACAATAAATCAAAAAATTAGCCGGGCGTGGTAGCGCGTGCCTGTAGTTCCAGCTACTTGGAAGGCTGAGGCGGAAGGATCGCCGGAGCCCAGCAGGTTGAGGCTGTGGTGGCCGGTAGCGGCCACTGCACTCCAGTCTGGGCGACACAGTGAGACTCCAACTCAAAAAAAAAAGAAGTTGAATCATTTAATTTTCCATGAGATTCCATCTTTAAAATATTTCAGTACCAAAATATGCTTGTCCTTTCTTGCTTTAAAAATTCAAGTACAGCTGGGCATGGTAGCTCATGCCTATAATCCCAGAACTTTAGGAGGCTGAGACAGGAGGATCACTTCAGCCCAGGAGTTCAAGACCAGACTAAGCAACATAGCAAAACCTCATCTCTATTTATAAATAAATAGTAAATAAATAAATAATAAATAAATATATTTCTTGGTTTTGTTAATTTGTGCATTCAAATTCTTTTTGCTTTACCATACTATTTCTACTTTTAACAATGATTATTTTAATACAATTTATTTATTTCTAATAATTTAAAACTTAACATGGTACCTTAAGTGTTCTAAAACAATCATACCCAATTTCAAAGATATGTTGGCAGAGCTAAAGAACTGAAGCATCAATACTGCCCCAAAACAAAAACACTACATTTTTAAAAATTAAAAATATTCAGAGTGTGAAAGAACACTAGCACTAAATGAAGCGTGATCCCCGTTGCCAATTGTACCATACCCCCCAACAAGGATTTGTTTGCAAATTATGCAAAAGTCACACATACACTGAATTTTCCAGGTGCTGGAGTTGATGAGAGAAGAAACTTCAGCGTTAACATCAACGTATTCCTTTTACACATTCTAGAGGTGCTATTATCCTGCAAGCTTTTTTTCTAATACCCAGAAGCTCCGAGGAAATGAAAACACCTACAGTTGTGT